TCTTCCGAAAGACATCTCAAGATAATGAGAGAAAGCCACAGACTGGGAGGATGTTGCAAAAGAAACATTGATAAAAGACTGTTATCTAAAATACAAAGAACTCTTAAAACTCAACCATAAGGAAACAAACAACACGATTGAAAAACCAAGGCAAAGAGTTCAATCCATATCTCACCAAAGGAGACAGACATACAGATGGCAAATAAACATATGAAAAGATGCCCTACATCATGTATCATCAGGGAAATGCAAATTAAAACAAGATGCAACTACACAGCTATTAGAATTTCTAGGCTAAAATCCAGAACAATGATAACATCAAATGCTGGTGAGGATGTGAAACAGGAATCCTAATTCATTGCTAGTGGGAATGAAAAGTGGTACAGCCACTTTGGAAGACAGTTTAGAAGTTTCTTACAAAACTAAAATATACTCTTACCATAAGATCCAGCAATTGCTTTCCTTGGTATTTACTGAAAGGAGCTGAAAACATGTCCACAGAAAATCCTGCAAGTGGACATTTATAGCAGTTTTACTCATAATTGCCAAAACTTGGAAGCAACTCAGATGACCTTCAATAGGTAAATGGATAAATAAACTGTAATATATCCAGACCATGGAACATTATTCAGCGCTAAAAGAAGTGAGCTATCAAGCCATGAAAAGGCATGGATGAAACTTAAATGCATATTACTAAGTGAAAGAAGCTAATCTTTAAAGGCTACATTTTATATGATTCCAACTATTCAACATTCTGGAAAATTTAAAACTATGGAGAAAGAAAAAAGATCAGTGGTTGCTGGGGTGGGGTGAGGGCGGTGAATAGGAGGAGCACAGAGGATTTTTAGAGCAGTGAAAATACTATAATGATGGATATATGTCATTATACATTTGTCCAAACCCATAGAATATACAACATCACAAGTGAATCCTAAGGTGAACTATGGACTTTGCACGATTATGATGAGTCAAGTAGGTTCATCCTTATTAAAAATGTACCTTTCTGGTGAGTGATGTTGATAATGGGGGAAGCGATCCATGTTTGAGAGGAGGGAGTATATGGGAACTCTCAGTACCTTCCACTAAGCTTTCCTGTGAACCTATAACCGCTCTAAAAAATTCTTTTTTTTTTAAGTCGATATAATCCCTGATACTAACAGAATAAAGGAAAAACACCACAACCTCCAACCCCCCCCCCCAAAAAAAACCCCACAATGACAAATTACAGGAAAAGTTCCAGCAAATTACAGGAACTTCTGAAAGTTTAACAGCAAAAGCAAGTCTAACTGGAAGACTGGACTCTGGAACCAACCGCTCAAGTATTGTAATATATAACCCTAAAGGAAGGATTTCCAGGAACGAAGGGAAAAGTTGACTTTTCTCTGAACAGCTTTTATACAGCTTGCAGGTAGACAAACTTATGTAAACCTGATATATCCATTAATGTAGCAGAAAAGAGCTTTCCATTTAGAAACTGACCTAAGTTTGTGGAGTAGTTCTCAGTTTGTTACATATCCTTGCTGAATATCACCATCTTCTCATCTGCATAAAGTGTATCATACCAACCTCAGAGGTCTTTTTTTTTTTTAGTTATTTCTGAGATATACATTTTAAAGTAATAACAAGAATTATGACATAACATTATACAAGTACATATAAGATTTTTATAAATTTCTAAAAATTACAGTTTTTTTTTTTGCGGTACGCGGGCCTCTCACTGCTGTGGCCTCTCCCGTTGCGGAGCACAGGCTCCGGACGCGCAGGCTCAGCGGCCATGGCTCACGGGCCCAGCCGCTCCGCGGCATGTGGGATCTTCCCGGACCGGGGCATGAACCCACGTCCCCTGCATCAGCAGGCGGACTCTCAACCACTGCGCCACCAGGGAAGCCCTCGGAGGTCTTTTTTTTCTGTGGTATGCGGGCCTCTCACTGCTGTGGCCTCTCCCGTTGCGGAGCACAGGCTCCGGACGCGCAGGCTCAGCGGCCATGGCTCACGGGCCCAGCCGCTCCGCGGCATGTGGGATCTTCCCGGACCGGGGCATGAACCCACGTCCCCTGCATCAGCAGGCGGACTCTCAACCACTGCGCCACCAGGGAAGCCCTCGGAGGTCTTTTTTTTCTGTGGTATGCGGGCCTCTCACTGCTGTGGCCTCTCCCGTTGCGGAGCACAGTTGCGGAGCACAGACTCCGGACGCGCAGGCTCAATGGCCATGGCTCACGGGCCCAGCCGCTGCGCGGCACGCGGGATCCTCCCGGACCGAGGCCCGAACCCGCGTCCCCTGCATCGGCAGGCAGACTCCCAACCACTGCGCCACCAGGGAAGCACGTCGGAGGTCTGTTTTGATCAATACATTATCGCACGTGTGTGAGAACTCTCAAATGTGTTATTCTACAAATGGCATTATAATTAATAGAAATTTACCAAAATAAATAATGGAGTCCATTTTCTTAAAGCACCGTATCCATTCATTACAGATATGAAAAACTGGAGTAAGCACAGAGGTGTAAATGGGTGGTTAAGTCAGGTACTGACTTTTTTCCCCCATGCTGCTCCGTCAAGTTTAAGCATTTGGAATTCAAAAATTGTTTTAAACCCTTTACAGAATTGGTAGAAGTAGCTTTTCAGACCGTGAAGTGAGTAACTGACCAGTTGTGAATATCTCATATCTTAGGCTACCTTTTTTTATCCGTCTTGCGCGGGTCTTCCAAGAGCCGAACTGCCAAAGCTCCCAACAAAGTTCTAGGCCGCCGAAGCACTTCCGGTCCTCGGCCCGGAGGCAAGCGGATAAGGAGCGTGCCACGCATGCGCGCCCAGGCGCAGCCTCTGCGGAGCGCCCCGCCTCGTTACGTCCAGTCCAACCTCGCTAGAACGGCAACCGGCGGGAGTTTTTCAAAATGGGAGGGCGGAGGCGCCGCCCAGGCCTCGGAAGGTGCCCGGGAGACCTTTCGGTGGCTGTGGTGTCGTCGCCGGGAGCGGCGGCCTAGAGAGCCGAGCCTGATGGACGCCAAGACACGCTGCCTACTTGGAGCGCTGCCTCGAAAGGACTGCGTGAAGGGAGTTAATCCGGGGAGCACGGACCGCGGCCTGGAAATATGGCGACCTGCATCGGGGAGAAGATCGAGGTGAAAAGACTCGGCAGTCCTCAGTAGGGCGGGTGGGAGTCGGAGTGCCGGGACTCGTCGACACCCTGGCAGGAAGGGGATAGAGCGCAGCTAACGGCTGTAGGTTGGACGCCGGAGTGCTTTGGGAGGGTTCCAACCACCGGGGGCCCGGCTGTTTGAGGGCGGAGCGGCCCGCCCCTCTGAGACGCGGGGATGGTGGGACAGGTGTGTTGCTAGCGGCCCCGCCCTTCTGTCCCTAGACACCGCGGCTGCATGTCAGCGATCCCGCCGGAGCTGCCGCGCTAGAGCAGGGCAAGGCTATCTTCCCCTTTTCCAAGGGGATGGCGGTTACCTACGGCGGGAGTTGCGGCGGGATTCCGTTCAGGGCCTTAGCTCTCGGGGTCTGGCTGGAGGTGGGACGAGGATGCTGAGGCTACGCTGAGGCTGAGGAACCAGATCATTAGGGTGCTCTATCCAGAGACCAGCCTGGAAGCTCAGAGACCCGCAAGGCGTCAACATGCTGTCCACCCCAGACACCTGCTGTATCGAGGTGTGATACCTGATTGAATTTTTAATGCAAATTCTCCTCCCGATCCATTTTAGCCTCTTTTTTCCAGCCCCTTCCTATTTTTCTTCCTTTCTGCGTCGAAAATCATTACACATATTCTTTAATTTTAACTTTTAAGGATTTTAAAGTTGGAAATCTGCTTGGTAAAGGATCATTTGCTGGTGTCTATAGAGCTGAGTCCATTCACACTGGTTTGGAAGTTGCAATCAAAATGGTAAGAATATGTTAATCAGTTTCTCACTTCTACTTTGCAAGTAACTTGAGATGTTAGAAACTCCTTACCTGCCAGCCTTTTCTTTATGCTGTAAAAAACCCATTGCTTAGGCAGAAGACAGTAGTTCCAACAGTTAAACTTAAGGATCTCTTAGGAGATCCTTAACCATGCTTAAATAAGTGTTCTATCTTTACTCATGTTCATTAGATTTGGTATCTGTTCTAATTATACGTACTTAGAGTAATTGGTAGCAGTCAAAGAACAAACAATAATTTGTTTATAATAAGAAGAATACACTCTGCACAGCTCTGTATTACACTGTAAAAAGCTAAAATACTATTCTTGATTGTTAGAAGTCAGTCTAATAGGGGTAACATAAGGAAATTAAGAAACACCTAAACCAGTAGGAAAAGGGAAGATTTGTTTTAAAGCTTTGCTAAATTTTATTTGTTGTTATTATCATAGATATGATGGTTGAGCTATTAAATTCTCTAAGTTGGTAGAGTGTATTAGAAAGCATTGGGCAAGTTTATTGAATGTCCACCCTGTCAAGCACTTTGCTAGGTGCATGGGGAAAATAGACTACGAAATAAATTGATCTCAAAAAGAAGATAAAAGAACTTAAGAATATTTTAAAGTATACTTTCTCTTTTCAAAGTTAACATGACAACTTCACATTTGAAAGTTTATCATCAACATTTAAACCTCTCATGTTATTTTTAGATAGATAAGAAAGCCATGTACAAAGCTGGAATGGTACAGAGAGTCCAAAATGAGGTGAAAATACATTGCCAATTGAAACATCCTTCTATCTTGGAGGTAAGATACAAATTTTATAAAAGTGGCCAAGGGCATTGAATTTTTCTGTATTATAATTTATTATGCCCTTTTACATTTCAGCTGTATAACTATTTTGAAGATAACAATTATGTGTACCTAGTATTAGAAATGTGCCATAATGGAGAAATGAACAGGTATCTAAAAAACAGAAGAAAACCATTCTCAGAAAATGAAGGTAGGCTGTGCTTCTTTTTTTCTTTCATTTTTCTTAAAAAAAAAATTGTTTTTGGAAAATACAAATTTTACTCTTTGTAGTTTTGAAGAATGTACTGTTTTATAATATTTAGTAAAACTGTTTCAATTATTACTTTGGGCTATAAAAAGAGATTTTCCCCCCCCAAATTAAGAAAGTTGTTAATTCATATAAATAATTCAGGCATTACAGAAGTAAAGTAGAAGAAGAAATTTGCTATCCATCTTTTGCCAAAACAGCATTTTAAATTAAGTCATTGGTCACAGTTGAATGTGTATCTTTTCAAATTTAGAGAAAGCTTTTTAGGATGCTGTTGATGACTATAAAGTAGTTTCTAAGTCAAACACAGTACCTGTTGAAACCATTTATTATAGAAAATGTCAAACACTTAAGTTGAGACAGTAATATAATGAGCCCCTATGAACTTACCACTGAGCTTCCAAAACTATCAACTCATTGTTTCATCTGTACCCTTCTTATTCCCCCAATTCCTCAGAGTATATTGAAGCAAATCATAGACATCTTTTTATCTTTAAACAATGCAGACTTTAAAAAAAAAAAAAAGTAAGCACAAAGTCACTATCACACCTAATAATTCCTTACTGTCAAACACATTGTCGGTTTCAGCTTCCCCAGTTTCTTATAAGTAACTTTTTTTACAGTTCAGATCAGGATCAAGTAAGGTCTGTATATCATCACACAAATGATTGTTTTCAAATTACCTTACCCTGCTAACTGACATTGCAGGCTAAGATTGAAAGCTAAGAAAGGTGGTTGCTGATAGGCTTTTTGTCCGTTTGATCTATATTTAACCCATTTGGAAAACAATTCGGTCATATGTGTTAAGAGTTAAGGAAATGTTCATATCCTTAGACTGAAAATAAGAACATAATACATAATAAGAAAATAAATTCATATACATATTTATGATGAGTACTGCATTTTTCATAATACTGTATAATAGTAAGGCCTTCTTAAATAAGACAACTTGCAAAACATAGGAAGGAAATGAATTACCAATTTGACTAATTAAAATTAAGAATGTGTATGACAAAGGATACTGTCAACAAATTTAAAAGTTAAAGATAGGAAGAAAATATTTGTATAACAAATGGCTGTCCAATTAATATTTAAAATATAAGGCATGCCTTAAAAGAAAAGATAATTGTATAGGAAAATGGACAGGGGGTATAAGCAGACTGTTCACAGAAGAGAAAGTATAATTGGCCAATAAACATACGAAAAGATGCTCAAAATCAGTAGTAATCATAAGAATGCCAACTAAAATAATGAGTACCATTTTTTTACCCATTGGATTGAGACAACCTAATTTCAACAAGGATATGCTTGAAAATAACAGCCTTTTGGAGGGCGATTGGCAAGGTATTAAAATACTAAATTTTATCTTTGAATCCAGTGATTCTACTTCTTGAATTTACCATAATGAAGCACCCCATTTTTATGCACAAGAAAACAAGCATGTACAAGAATGTTTATTGCTATATTTTTTTATAATCTTGAAATGACCCAAATATTAATCAATAGCAGTTTAATAAGATGGAGATCTATGTGTACTGACATAGAAATATCTCCAAGAAATATTGTGAAGTGGCAAAAAAAAAGTAATAAACTATATTTTTACACCATTTTTATATTTTAAAAACATTTATTACAGTGTATTTCTATAGATTTAAGTGTACATAAGCACATGGAAGAAAAGTTTAAAAGAATATATATAAACTGTTAATAGTGACTGCTCTTTAGGAGGGTTTGAGAGGACATCAAAGGAAATTCAGCTTGCTTTTCTTTTTTTCTCTTTTTTACAATTTGAATTATTTATGAATTGTTTAATTATAAATATTTTCTCTTTCTATGGACTTCTGGTTACCCTAGTTAACTCTGGTCACTCCCAGTTCCTAATAAAATTAAGCTTCCCTTAACTGTATTTAGAAAACTCATTAGTTGGAAAGGACAGAGTTTAAAAGGAGTGCCTAGTTGTCTTAATAGGAATTATTAAAGAATATTATGAAATTATCAGAGTGGTATTTTGGCTGGTAAAACTAAGCTACAAACCAGCTTACTAATTGTCATACTGGCATATGTACTTGGGTTTCATAATGTATTCTAAATATTGAATCTTCAGATTTTCTAAATTGTAAGTTTTAATTTTTGCATTCTAACAGCTCGACACTTCATGCACCAGATCATCACAGGAATGCTGTATCTCCATTCTCATGGTATATTACACCGGGACCTCACACTTTCTAACCTCTTACTTACGCGTAATATGAACATCAAGATCGCTGATTTTGGGCTGGCCACTCAATTGAAAATGCCACACGAAAAGCACTATACTTTATGTGGAACTCCTAATTACATTTCCCCAGAAATTGCAACTCGAAGTGCACATGGACTTGAATCTGATATTTGGTCCTTGGGCTGTATGTTTTATACGTTACTTATTGGAAGACCACCTTTTGACACTGACACCATCAAGAACACGTTAAATAAAGTTGTATTGGCAGATTATGAAATGCCAACTTTTTTGTCAAGAGAAGCCAAGGACCTTATTCACCAATTACTTCGTAGAAATCCAGCAGATCGTTTAAGTCTGTCTTCAGTATTAGACCATCCTTTTATGTCCCGAAATTCTTCAACAAAAAGTAAAGATTTAGGAAATGTAGAAGACTCGATTGATAGTGGACATGCCACAATTTCTACTGCAATTACGGCTTCTTCCAGTACCAGTATGAGTGGTAGTTTATTTGACAGAAGAAGACTTTTGATTGACCAGCCACTCCCAAATAAAATGACTATATTTCCAAAGAATAAAAATTCAAGTGATTTTTCTTCTTCAGGAGATGGAAGCAGCCTTTATACTCAGTGGGGAAATCAAGAACAAGAAACCAGTAATAGTGGAAGGGGAAGAGCAATCCAAGAGGCAGAAGAAAGGCCACATTCTCGATACCTTCGTAGAGCCCATTCCTCTGATAGATCTGGCATCTCTAATAGTCAGTCGCGAGCGAAAACGTATACAATGGAACGATGTTACTCAGCAGAAATGCTTTCAAAATCCAAAAGATCAGGAATAGATGAAAATGAAGAAAGATACTCATCCACAAACAGCAATGCTAATATTCTTCACTTCTTTAAAGAAAAGACATCCAATAGTTCTGGATCTTTTGAAAGACCTGATAACAATCAAGCACTGTAAGAATAATTCTATCAAAAAGCATTTTACTTTTCAATAAATATTGTATTAGCACAAACATGAAGCTGCATCTAACTAAGGGTTACCTTTTTTCTAACCTTGTCAGATATTCCTGGGGCACTTTTAACTATGACTTCTGTTGTTTAATAGGAAGAGAATCAGAATGATGATTTTGAATTGTGGTTAAGAATCTCTTAAAATGAGTGTATGTGCTTATGAATATATTTGTAGTATGTGTTTAATACTTGGGAATTTCTAGTGTCATTTTAAATTTTATATGAAGCAGGTCTCCAGTGCAATGTATCATATATTAAACATGTCTGATTCCTAAAGTACTCTTAACAGTAACTGTACACACACACACACACACACACACACACACACACACACACAGAAGGAGAAGTTGACCCTAAGTGATGAGTAATCATATTGACTGCTTCTCACATGAAGGCAAGCTTTTAGTGACTAGTGTTTTTCTTTTTCTGATCTTTGATTTTTATGTTTAAATTAAAAGAGGACAGTAGCCATATAGAAATGTTGTCACAGTGCCATGGGCATTTTGGCATGGGAATTTAGCTTCATAGACACAATTTAGTTATGCAAATGTTGGGTTCTACAGTTAATGTAAAACTTTTTAGGTATTCATATCAGAAGAGAGCTCCCTTTTTTAGTGTTTTTTTATCTTAAAAGGTTACTACCTGATAATTTTTTATTAGTTTATGGGAAATTTTTTTTCTTTGTTTAGCTCCAATCATCTTTGTCCAAAAAATGGAAAAACTCCTTTTCCATTTCCAGACCAGACAGCTCAGACTGAAATGGTGCAACAGTGGTTTGGGAATCTGCAAATAAATGGTGAGTTTTTAATGGACTATTTAATAAAAAGTTAATGACTTGGCCACTTACCAAGCATTGCAGTTTTCTATTTGGGTTTTCTTGAGAAAATAGTACATTTTCAATAAACTTTTACAATAATAGTAATAATTACTGTTAACACAGTTTGAGTATTTACTGCATCAGCCACTGTGCTTAACATATATTATTAACTTATTAATAATTCTCACAGAAACCATATGAGGAAGGTACTATTATTAGCCCTGTCTTACAAATGAGGAAATAGTAGTACACAAAGGTTAATTTGCCAAGCTGCACTGTCCATAAATACAAGAGAGAGGAGTCTAACCCAAGCAGTCTGGCTCAGAGACTTTACTCTTAACCCCTCCGCTCTTGCAGCCTCTCTGTAGTAAGTACCTACTATCATTGCCTATAAAATAATCAAAAGATGGTTGACTTTATTTTTAAGTAGAAGGTGATGTGGACCATCATTGTGTACCAATGGGACCTCACATACACTAAAATACACAGCTACTAAAACCTAAACATTTTTAAACAGCTTTCATCCAAGTCATTATTTTACTTATAGATACAGAGTTTGAAAGTTAAACGTTTCTCATTATTGAACATGACATTCACAGAAGGTGGGCTGGAAAATAATGATGGAAAAAAGAGGATAAAAAAGAAACATGGAGAGGAGGACAATTTTTTACTAAGTATCATGTTACCTCAGACAAAGTGCGTGTTATGGCTGTAATTTAAGCAGAGAGTTGTTATGTCACCTCAAGAGTCTATTTTTTTCATGTATATTATTTTCAGGGGCCCAAAAGAGAATTAATCTTCTCATGTGTACTTGTTAAAGATGATAATTCAAGTTTATGTTTTTTAAAACTACAGAACTGCCATGTGCTTAATCTTGCACTTAACCTTCTATTGTGTTTATAGATACTTTTATTTGGTAACATGGACATGTCTGAAGTAATCTTGTTTATAATACTCTAGTAGTGCTGCTACAATTTTAAAGTATATTATTTGATGTAAGATATTTTCTGTCATAATGGGAGTTATGGAGGGAGGCACTTAAAAGTCATTTAAGGGGAAAGCTGAGATACAGATTTTTATAGTTTAGCATTAGAAAAATTGCCTTACAAAGTTTTATATAGTCTAATCATTTTAAGGGCTTTTAAAAAAATAATGTTCCCATGTGAACTCTAAAACTAAATAAAATTTAAATGGGTAAAGTTCAAGAACTGTTTTAGAAATGTGGGTACAAATACATTTGTAATATTAAGTATTAATAGTAAACCTATTTCATATATTTTAGAGTGTTTTGGTTTTAGTTGCATATTTTGTAAGTAAAGATGAAATAGTCCTTAGCTTAAAGAGTGAATTTACATGTTATGTAGAATGATTACCTGGGAACTCCTCTCAAATCTGTATTTGTTGCAGCATTTGCAGTTGCTTTAGTATTAGTAGGTGACCCTAGGTGACTAGTTTTTTCTTTGATTGAAAAATTAATTTCATATTAATATCTTTTCTTTCTTAGTCGTAGACTAAAGGTATTCCTTCACAGGCTGGCATAAAATGTCCTTTTAAAGTCACTATTTTATTATGCCATATCTTTTTGTTTTTTTGTTTTTTTTTTTTTTGGCTGAGCCGTGCAGCTGTGGTATCTTATTTCCCTAACCAGGGATTGAACCTGGGCCCTTGGCAGTGAAAGTGCCAAATCCTAACCACTAGACCACCAGGGAATTCCCTTATGCCGTATCTTAAACTGAAAAATTACAAGCTTTTTTTTTTAAACTAGATTTCTTTTGTTCCTCAGGAAAAAATAATGCTGTTGTAACCAGCATGACATTGTTTTGTGTAGACTTGACTTTTTAATTATTCACTAAATTGCTTTATTCTGTGTATATTATAGCTCATTTAAGAGAAACTACTGAGTGCAACAGCATTAGCCCAAACAGAAATTTCCAGGGCCATCCAGATTTGCAGGACACATCAAGAAATGCCTGGACTGATATAAGAGCCAAAAAGAGCCCTCATGCTTCTGATAATGCTCATTCTGCAAAACAGTTGAATACCATGAAATATATGACTGCATTTCACAGTAAACCTGAGATAATTCAACAAGAATCTATTTTTGGCTTAGATCCTTCTTCTGAACAAAGCAAGACGAGGGGTGTGGAGCCACCATTGGGTTATCAGAAACATACATTACGAAGCATTACATCTCCTTTGACTGCTTACAGGTTAAAACCAATCAGACAGAAAACGAAGAAGGCTGTGGTATGTCTATTATTTTTCTAAATCACTGGATGATATTTTCCTTGAGTATATGGTCTCTGGTATCAAACATAATGATCTTTTCAGTTCCCTATAATGTCCCTGTATTTTTGATACGTACTTGATAAACTCACTTAAAAGAGACTGGGTGTTTATGGAAAAATAGCTGTTGTTTCCTTCTGGGTACTTTAAGAATGGTGAATTGATAGTAATTTTTGAATGTTAAATTATTGATAATGAAAAACATTTAAAAGTAATACTGGGGCTTCCCTGGTGGCGCAGTGGTTGAGAGTCCGCCTGCTGATGCAGGGGACACGGGTTCGTGCCCCGGTCCGGGAAGATCCCACGTGCCCCGGAGAGGCTGGGCCCGTGGGCCATGGCTGCTGGGCCTGCGCGTCTGGAGCCTGTGCTCCGCAGCGGGAGAGGCCACAACAGCGAGAGGCCCGCGTACCGCAATCACAATCCTAATAACTAAGTTAATATTTAATACTATCTTTTGCTTTTGTTTTCATTGTTTCTACATTTAATCTAGTCTCAAAAAGACAAACTAGAAAATATAACTTCTTTTAACATCTGAAACTATTTAAAGAAAAGGAGTATGCACAAAATTAAGTGTAGCATTTTTTTTTTAATGTCATGTGTGCATTGGGAATGGTAATTTTGATTTTTTAATTCTGTCTTCATCCTGTTTGTCCCTGTTTTCCCTTTCACCCAGTCTTGCCTTTATTTGGCGTGCTGTTGTCTTTTCAAGCCCTTAAATTCTCCACCCTACCTTCTGCTTTCTTTCTGCTCACTCGTTATCATTTCACACTTCATTATACCTTCTTTCCTTTGCTCCTTATGTTTCACAGTTGTGCTGAAGTGCACCTGTGGTCTAGACAATTGCAGTGAAGCGGCTATTTGATTTTTACTTTAATTTTTGTTTCTGCCATGGTTAAGTACTTTTCTCTTAACTAATATGTACATCAGAACTGTTCTGGTAAATAAGAGAATTGTTACTGGTTTTAGTTTTATTTTTTTTTTAGGTGAGCATACTTGATTCAGAGGAGGTATGTGTGGAGCTTCTAAAGGAGTATGCGTCTCAAGAATATGTGAAAGAAGTTCTTCAGATATCTAGTGATGGAAATATGGTAATGTGGATTTCCTTTATTATCTTGCAGCTTCATCACTTAAGCATTTAGCATTCCATTCGTTCTATAATGATATTTAAAAAACAATTTTTAGTCACTTTTCCTGATATGATAGTATCTCTGGAATTCAAAAACTAAAATAGCATACTACATACATTTAAATAAATTAGTGTGGTGTAAAAAATAATTATAACCAGGAACAAAATCTAAACTTTAGGCTTAAGTTTAAAAAGCAAAAAAATTACTTTTAGAGAATATTTAGCATTTTCAATAAAAATAATATACATGTGAGCTCTTTTTATAATTTTAGTAACAAAATATAGTGCTCTAACTTAATGGCATATAATCAGAATTCTTAAAAATTTTTTGCCAGATCACTATTTATTATCCAAATGATGGAAGAGGTTTTCCTCTTGCAGATAGACCGCCCTCACCTACTGACAACATCAGTAGGTACAGTTTTGACAATTTACCAGGTATGTAAATTTACCAGGGAATACATTTAGATAATGGATTTATATATACATTAATTCTATACTGTGGGTATCATAAATTGTAAATATTTTGGCTTCAGTCGGGATGCAGGTTATGTTCTTATAACTTTATATCTGGTGAGATGTGCTATACCTTACTAATCCAATGTTTAGTCATATTCTGTGTTATAATGTTATTTTATTGTTTACTTAAGTAAAAACTAACTCTAGAATATTAGTCATGTGTCACACAAGTATAATTTGTACACTTGTATAGTTACAGTTTGTCTAGAATCATGTTAAAAATTCAACATGAAGTATCTGGTTTTTGACTTTTGAAATCATTACTGTGCTACATAATGATCACTTGTAATTGTGGTTAACCAAATTTGGCTCCCAGTTTAGCTTCTGGATATTATGAATTGGGAAATTAAGTACTGAGTAGTAAGACTTCCCTCAGGTAACTTAGAAGCAAATAAGAGAACCTATCTAATCTAACTCTGTTAGAAATTAAGACACGTAGACAAGACTATCAAATATTATAAATGACCATAGTTACAGGGAACTGCTAAAATTTACTACTCCATGTTTTACTAATATAAAAAGTGCTATATTTCTTTTCCTAAAGTCATTTGGTTCTGATATCTCAGGTAGAACTCTTCTCATTTCATTTATTAAAACTTTCCTGGAGTCATTATCTTACTTTTAATGAGTCAGTGATTCAAAGTAAGAGATTTTTTAAATAATCATGAGACTGGGACTTCCCTGGCGGTCCAGTGGTTAAGACTTCACCTTCCAACGCAGGGGGTGCGGGTTCTATCCCCTGGTCGAGGAGCTAAGATCCCACATGCCTCATGGCCAAAAAACCAAAACAGAACAGAAGCAATGTTGCAACAAATTCAATAAAGACTTTAGAAATGGTCCACATCAAAAAAATCTTTAATAAATAATCATGATACTAATCATCAGATTTTGTTATATACTTCTTAGGAATTTTATTATACTGTCTTTAGTTTTCATTAAAATAGTAGACTTACATCTCAAATATTTTTATTTGGGTAATGGGACTGTTAACTTTGGGTAATGGGATTATTAACTTTCGACTTGAATTTTTGAGGAAGAGTAGAAATAAATGTTAGACTGTTATGGAATTTATGTCAACACTTTATTCCCTAACGTTAGGTAACTTTTTTGTTTTCTCTCCCTAGAAAAGTACTGGCGAAAATATCAATATGCTTCCAGATTTGTGCAGCTTGTAAGATCTAAGTCTCCCAAAATCACTTATTTTACAAGATATGCTAAATGTGTTTTGATGGAGAATTCCCCTGGTGCTGATTTTGAGGTTTGGTTTTATGATGGTAAGTGCCATTTAGAAATGGTAATTTTTTTCCCTATAGTTTGTAACTTAGTAATTGTGGGGGTTTTTGGTTTTTTGTTTTTTGTAAATTCAACACAGTGAGATTTATTTATTTATTTTATTTATGGCTGCACTGCATGGCTTGCGGGGCCTCAGTTCCCCGACCAGGGATTGAACCCAGGCCACAGCAGTGAAAGCTCTGAATCCTAACCACTAGACCACCAGGGAACTCCCCAACACAGCGAGTTGTGTGTGTGTGTGTGTGTGTCTGTGTGTGTGTGTGTGTATCCATACATAAAAATTATACAGCACAGTATATGTCAAATGTTAATCAAAATTTATATATACTTGCTTATAAACAGTTTATTCTCTAATACATATATTAATTCTCTTTCCCCTTTTGGCTCCAGTTTAACAACATTCTGATTGATATTATAAAAAATAACATGAAATAAACAATATCCTGTTTCTTACTAAATGGACACATACCAAATTTTTAGAATAATAAATATCACAAAAGGATAAGGTTGAACCAGAGAATTTTGTCTTCTAAATCTATAAAGATGTTTACTTTTTAATCTGTAAAGTTTCCTCCTTTAAGGGACACATAGTACATACACTCACACAGTACACATAATTATAGCTGTCCTTCACTTATGTTTTTGTATGAGAGTAGTGGTTTTTTAAAAATATAAAAGTATCAAACTTAAGCCAGTTATATGCAGAAAAGAAAAATGGCCTATATTTTTTGAATACTACTTTGAGAGCCTCATTTTATCAATGGCCAATAAGTGAATGTAAATGTTACCTTGATCTGTCATTATGTACTGGGGTATGATAATGAATATAAATCTAGTAATATTTAAAGAAATAATAAAGGGTTTTCTGCTTAATTTTTAAGGAGCAAAGATACACAAAACAGAAGATTTAATTCAGGTGATCGAAAAGACTGGCAAATCTTACACCTTAAAAGGTGAAAGTGAAGTTAATAGCTTGAAAGGGGAAATAAAAATGTATATGAACCATGCTAATGAGGTATGTACCGATTTTTAGTAGGTTTTTTCTTACCAATTAATAATAATGCAAATGACATAGATGAAGTAATGACAGAAAGCACTCTTTTGAAATAGGGCCACCGTATTTGTTTAGCACTGGAATCCATAATTTCAGAAGAGGAAAAGAAAAGTGGAAGTGCTCCCTTTTTCCCAATAATTGTAGGAAGGTAAATGTTTGAAAATTTATTAAATATGGCTAAAATGTGTAGAAATTTTTTTAAAAAAAAAAAGTTTACTGTTTACATTATGAACATTCTTTTGTTTTCTATAAATTGAAAGCTTTAAAAGAATGTATTTGACATATCTTTCTCCTTCAGAAAACCTAGTAGTACTAGTTCACCTAAAGCCTTAACACCTCCTCCTTCTGTGGATCCAGACTATCCAATGAGAGAGACACCGTCTCTGAATAGAATGATCATAAATAGTGCAGCTTCTCCAAAACAGGCACCAATACTTAATCCTTCTGTAAGTAAATATATGTCACTTCTATACTTTAAACTCTTCAATGATTGCCTAATGTCCTTGATATCAAACTAAAACACCCTACTGTGGCCTTACTATCACCTAGTACTTTTCAGTCTCATCCTGAGCTACCCCACACTCTCTGTGCCTAGTTCCTTGATTAAGCCAAACTCTCAGGGCCTTTTCACATGCTCTTCACTTGACCTGGAACTCTTTTCCCGAACCTCTTAATGGCTAATTCTTTCTCATCTTTCAGGACTCAGTTTAAATATTACCTCAGCAAGGCCTAACCTGACTCCTCTGGGAAAAAGCTAAATACATTAACATATATATTGTTTAATTTTTACTAGTAAAATATCATTAACTGCCTTAATATCCATGATAGAATCATGGTTAAACAAACTTATATTTTTACTCAATGAACTATCATGCCAATAAAAACTATATAGCAATGTAGTAAAATGCAAGATTAAAGAAATAGATCTCTGTGTATATGGGTATGTGTGTATTCACACACACAAACATACATACTATATTTGCAGCTATGAAAAATTATACCTTGGGAAAAAAAGACAAAAGAAATCTACCAAAATCAAAACAGTAGTTGTATGGGTTTTTTTCTTATTTTATACTTTTCCAATTTTCTGTAATGTGATTGTATTTTTTTAATTTTGTCTTTTAAAAATTAATTTAAGATAATGAAAATCGGGTCATCATCTACTTTTGCTGAAGTTGGCTTATTAGAATGCTAAGGAATAATATCTTCCTTTCTTTTATTGTTTGTAGATGGTTACAAATGAAGGACTTGGCCTTGCAGGTGCAGCTTCTGGAACTAACAGCTCTCCTAGTAGTCTAAAAGATTGTCTCCCTAAATCAGCACAACTTTTCAAGTCTGTTTTTGTGAAAAATGTTGGTTGGGCTACACAGGTGAGAAGTTAGATTTCTCTTTGCAAGACAGTTTTTACACCTTTTTTGCATTGATTATATCATTAATAATTTTCACATTTTTTTATTTGTATACAGATGGAAAGACTCTAGATATTGTTAACAAATTGCCTGCTAGGGCTTAGGTGACCTGTTCTTGCCATTTTTTTTAAATTAATTAATTTATTTTTGGCTGTGTTGGGTCTTCGTTTCTGTGTGAGGGCTTTCTCTAGTTGCGGCAAGCGGGGGCCACTCTTCATCACGATGCGTGGGCCTCTCACTATCGCAGCCTCTCTTGTTGTGGAGCACAGACTCCAGACGCACAGGCTCAGTAGTTGTGGCTCACGGGCCTAGTTGCTCCGCGGCATGTGGGATGTGACCAGACCAGGGCTCAAACCCGTGTCCCCAGCATTGGCAGGCAGATTCTCAACCACCGTGCCACCAGGAAAGCCCTTGCCATTTGTTTTTAAAGTAGAGGTCATGATGATGGCTAAACATTAGGATTTGAGAATGCCCAGGGCATTGTAAGTTTTAGAAAGTATTTGTAATCTATATTAATAGAGTAACTTTTATTTGGCAGAAAAGAATTTTTGCATTCAAAAATTAGGTCTACATTGAGTTTCAAACTTAAAGAATTTTATGTAGGTGTAAACTTAGATTTGTATATTTTTTGAAAGCTTGAACTTTGGAGATGTTTGAGCACAGCACATGTAATTTTTACTTACCAGTAAAGTAAAATACAGCCTAGTCCTTTACGGGGGGTAGGAAATATCGGGAACTCAGCATTTGTTGAGTACATGCTATGTGGTACCATGTTTTCCACATACATTGTCTCATTTCCCAAAATAAAACCTAGTAAAGTTGATGTTATCTCCTTTCATAGATAGTAAAATTATGGCTCATAATGGATGGTTGACTTGCACATTCCTACTAGTTAGTTTGCAGAATCTGGATGTAAACCCAGGTCTATTTGATTCCAGTGTCCATGTCTTCTCTGTACTCTGTTTGGAGTGGCACATTGTAAACATCAGTGACTAAAGAAACCAATTTCAAAAGCAAAGATGTAACATTCTTAAGCAGAATAGAAATTCTTTTGGCCTAAGAACATTGAGGGAAATTCTAATTTAAGAAAGTGTTGCTTGGTTATTTCCTAAATCTCTTCTTGGTTAGAAATACTATGGGAAAGGAAAAAAAAAACTTGCTCAGATATCCTAGTGGAAATGAATGGGAAACAGGATTTATGTAGAATAATTTTAATTTATGATGCCCTATCCATTAAAGGAATAATCTGAAAAAGATTATGAATATTCTCAAATGTTACTACCATCACAGCCCCAAATTTGTAGTTACCTGAAGGGTTGTTTTGTTTTCTTTTTAAACTATATGAAAATCCTTTTAAACATGAGTACCTTTTAAGAACTTCATATCCTCTGTAGTAATTTTGCTTGCTTATTACTTTTCTAGTTAACTAGTGGAGCTGTGTGGGTTCAGTTTAATGATGGGTCCCAGTTGGTCGTGCAAGCAGGAGTGTCTTCTATTAGTTATACATCTCCAGATGGTCAAACAACTAGGTAAGTTCTTAAAATACTGGTTGAGATTCAGCTCTTTGCTCTAATTTTGTTTTATCTATATGATGAGATAAATGACTTAATAAAGTTACTATTTTCATGTTGACAAAGTTCATATTATTATTTAAACTGTTAAATATTCATAGCAGCTCATATAGTCTTTAATGCATATTTTATGAGTATTTACAGGAATGCAGGGTAATTGGTATGGATTATCCACTCCAAGTGGTTAGATTCCTTTAGCCTTCTTATTCCTTCAGTCTAACTAGGTTGGCCCTTTTCATAAGTAATGGACTTCTAAGTTCAAATATACTTAGATAATTTACATAAAAGAACATAGAAACAAGGAAGCTTTCTTTTAAAAGGTAACCAGATTATTTTTCCCAAATGAAAGGCTGTATCCCCTGATCTAATGTAAAGTGATTAATGTTAAAAGACTTTTTTGAATGTATATATTCATTCTAAATGAGGATGTATGCCAGGCTAATAAGTATGCTAACAAGGAGGATCTGGGAATAGTAACAGTAAGCAGTAGTTTGGTCTCCACATTTCAAACCATAACTTACTAAAAAGAGGTAGGGTGCCGACAGTGCCAGTACAAACACGCTACTTTATGAAAAGTGCATATTGTATAGAAAATACTTAGTACAAATATAATTTGTGGATATCTACCAACTGCTTTTGTGTGTATATATGCAGTACCATCATTTAAAGAACTCATAAAGTGAGAGGTTTTGTTAAATCAACTCTTTCAAATGATCCAGAAAGTGGAAAGATACAGATATAAAATGGGTAGAACCCATGTTCAGAAGATAAAAGTTTAGATTTTACTTGATATGGTCATTTGGAAATTTTTAATATTTAATAGAAATGTATTTATAATGTGTTTAGCTTAGTATTTTCTTTAAATTAGGGTCTTCAATTTAATGAAGAATCCAGATTTTCAGCTTGCTTTAGAAATTATAAAGTCTGTTTAAGTTTTTTGACCTAATTTTCTTTTTATTATTTAAATACATTTAGAAATTGGTCTATTTTAAAAGGAAACAGGGACTTCCCTGGTGGTCCAGTGGTTAAGACTTCATCTTCCAATGCAGGGGGGTGTAGGTTCAATCCCTAGTTGGGGAGCTGGGATCTCACATACCTCGCAGCCAAAGAACAAAAACATAAAACAGAAGCAGTGTTGTAGCAAATTCAATAAAGACTTAAAAAAAAATGGTCCACATCAAAAAAATCTTTAAAAAATAAGGAAACAAATTGAGTATGCTTAAGTATCTAATAAATAATTTTGTATGATCTCTCTGAAGTGCCTTTGCCATTGAAGAATTACTGAGAAATATAATGTGACTTTTGGTACTCTTACAAACCAAGTGACTTAAGTTATAATTTTATCTTTTTCTCTTTTGCTTCACTTAGGTATGGAGAAAATGAAAAATTACCAGAATACATCAGACAGAAATTACAGTGTCTTTCTTCCATCCTTTTGATGTTTTCTAATCCAACCCCTGGTCTTCATTGATTAAAGCTCCTTTTATATATGTATATGTTTAATAAATAACGTTTTTGTTGGCTTTCAAGTAAAGTGACTTTTTTCATTTTAAAAAACTTCTTCAGAAAGCCTGTCTATAAAAGAGATTTTAATGTATACCATAACAGATGTATTCTAATGAGAGAACAAAGCAGAATGAAACTTGAGTCACTTACAAAATATGGTCGTAGACTAAAAGAGGACACCTAACTTTGCTCTTACAACATATACTCCTAAAATTACTGTGTTCACATATTTGTATTGAACAGTCTTTTAAAGCAAAAATATAAATGGTGTGTGGTATATTTGTGCTCTTATTTTTTTCCCTACTTCTTAGACATGTTAAGAATCATGGATAAAACATGCTGGAGTTTCTGAATTTTGAACATGTAAATAATGTGTATTTATGTTACAAGTAACATATGTAAACATGTACATTTGTTTTATATTTATTTTTGTAGCACTAGTTTGTGATGAAACATTTCTGAAAATGCATTTTATTAAAAAATAATAAATACAGTGTTACTTTATCTTTTGATTTATTTAATTAAATACTTAATTTAGGGACTTTCCTGGTGGTGCAGTGGTTAAGAACCTACCTGCCTATGCAGGGGACATGGGGTTAAATCCCTGGTCCGCAAAGATCCCACATGCTGCGGAGCAACTAAGCCCGTTCACAACTACTGAGCCTGAGCTCTAGAGCCCGCAAGCCACAACTACTGAGCCCGCATGCTGCAACTGCTGAAGCCCGCACGCCTAGCGCCCGTGCTCTGCAACGAGAGAAGCCACTGCAATGAGAAGCCCGCACACCGCAACGAATAGTAGCCCCCGCTTGCCGCAACTAGAGAAAGCCCGCGTGCAGCAATGAAGACCCAATGCAGCCAAAAGTTTTTTTTAAAAAAGAAAAATATATAATTTAAAATAATTTACATAGTAAACTCATTTTTAGTTTTTTTGCCTGTTTAAGACCCAATTAAATTTTTTAAATTAATTTTTCAAATGGTAAGTACATTGTTTTTCTACCTTTATCTGAAAATATCTGTATATTTTAATGATAAACATTTTAACATTGAAGACCTCAACAATGCAATTAACTAAAATGAGGAAAAAGAATATTTGATAGTGGGACAGCAATTCTTAATGAAATACTCAAGGTAAAATAGGAATAGAATGAAACTACTTAAATATAAAGACTGTTAATGCTTCCTGCT